CCCCAAAACCCCAAAACCCCAAAACCCCAAAACCCCGAGATGGCTTAAAAGTATTGAGTACAGTTAAGGCCAACCAGTGCTTATTTTGATTCCTTGCCCTTGATGTAATAAATTGCTCCAAATGTAGCCAATCCAATACCAACCAGTGCCACAGCTACTTTTGTTTTTGAAAAATGTCTGTTGCCACCTTGAAGCTTACCTTCTTGTAATGCCTTTTGTTTTTCTTGGTTGACTGTGGCTTCTCAATTCTTGATAATAGCATACTTGGGTGAATGCTTTGAAGTTACCTTTTCTTCGATCTCTTTTGCTTTCTTGATTAGATTTTCTGCATCCTCAAATTCTCTCCAAAGGCTCTTTAATTTGGCCATTTTGGCCAGAACTAGTGAACTTTCAGAGTTGACTTCGGACCCGAACTTGGCTTTGTAGATGTCATAACAGTCAAGGTAGCGTTGATAGGCTTCTTGATATTGTCCCAACTTCACTTTGCCCTGAGCCAATAATTTTATAGCATGTGCATGCTCCATCGAGTTGGCTCCATAGACTGTCTTGGTAATCTGCTCGTAGTTCTGAGAGAACTCTATGTATTCCTGACCATTATTTAACACCATTGAGCAATCAAGTTTATTTAGAAAGAGCTTTGTGATAAGACTTGGTGTTCTCTCCTTCTTTCTTAGCATAATTCAAAAAGTCGTTACAGACTTTGTTGCCAAGTTGGAAGTCTTTGCGATTCAAGAGAATGTTAATTGTATTCACATAGATACTATCATTGGATTCAGCAACAATTGTCTCAGTAGCCAGCAACTTCTGAGCAATCATTGCATACTTGTCTGTATGATTCAATTTTTCTGCGATAGGTAACTGCATGGAATAGATCAACTTGAGAGTCACATCAATCATGGCATTCCTGTTGGCTTCATACAATTCAGCTAAGGAATCAAAGTTGGACAGGACTTCCTCTAGTTTAGATACTCCAGGAAGTAGCAATGTGAGATAGGTATCCACGAAGTCAAGGTTGACTCTGAAAAGGTGAAGCTTGTCAATTCCAAGGTCTTCACAATACTCAAGAGCAGTCTCCACGTATGGCTTCAAGCTGACGTCTCTGATCATTGAGAAAGATCCCATGAAAGCAATATATGTCAACTTGTCTTGTTTGATGGTTTCAGCATACTTCTTGGAGACTTTGTAGTCAACTTGGACTCCCATAATCTCTTCGAAACTAGCGAGAGCTCCAAAAGATTCCAACATATAATAGTTATTTTCATAAGTAGACTCATCAACTAGCTTCTCCATATCTCTGCTGAAGCTGAAGATTTTGCCTTGATCTACAGAATCAGGGTCGAGCCTAAATTATTCAAATTCAAAAAGCTTTATCGTAAACAAAGTATTAATAATCAAAAGCATTTATGAAACATCTTAAAAGGAGATGAATTCCTCTTTTAAATCACTCATAATGCAAATAGAGTAAATAAGGCATTGCCAGCTCAATTTTTGAATAGTATTGAACCTTCTAGAGCCCATAATGATGGTTATTAATAGATATAGTCAGATCAGCAGCAATATGTTTAGTTTTAATTTTATCAACTCCGAATATATCCTAGTCTCATTCAAGATAAAAGTGGTTGATTTATTAAATGACTTTAGGTTTTAATGTATTTGAGTAAAAACTAATTCAAGAAAGTTATACCATTGAAAGTAATTATTTTCTTACATTTGTATTGTTTGACCCCTAAATAATTGCATGCTACATATTATCTGATAGTACAGTATAGAACATTTTTCAAGTTTGTGATGGCTCAGTAGGCTCTCTAAAGCTTTGGTGCATTCAATGATTCCTTCTGTTTCTCTTTTCTCCCGCATTTGTAGCATTTTGAACAAGTTCAGCGCGATTTGAGACTCAGCTAGCTCTGGCTCTGGATGAGTCTTAAGCTCTTGTTCTACCAAAGAAATCACTAGCTCTATTCTATCTTTGAATTCTTTATCAGTCTTCCAACAATTCTCAAAATTATGAAGAGCGAGGTCTCTCATGTAGACTAAGAGTTTTGTTGATTTTCAAATGTCGAGTAGTTCATCTCATACAGATATCCACTTGGTGATGTCTCTCGAGATATAGAAGTTTGCAATCATAAACTTCTGAATAAGATCCAAATGAGTGGCAACTTGTTCTGGAAAATCTCGAGAAGAAATATCTTCAGATATAATTCCAATGTATTCTTCGGGAGTCTTTGCTGACAAAGTCATGTAATTTGTTCCCACACTCAGGTAAGCTGAGTAGTACTTGAAAGCAACAAAGTCATCAGTGGGGTTGGCATCGAAAAGATCTTTGAATATCTTCATAATGACCTGACATCTTGTATATCCTCCGTTGGACATGAAGATATCGAGGAACAAGTTCAAAAACTCAGCCTTATATTTAAGTGGGATAGCTTCTTCCTCATTCTCTGGTTCTGAACTAACTAAATTTTGATATAATTCTTCAAACTCCTGCAAGTTCTCTTCGCAAGACTTGCCACCATAGATCAATAGTCTTAGACGCAGCCACTCAAGCCTCGCCAAGTGTTGGCCTTGCTTACTCTCTTTTATGTCTATTGCAGACTTGGCTTCTTCAAGGATCTGGTTGAGTTCAGCGACAGAAAGTCTCTGAATTTTCTCTCTGAAGGCGATTGAGTCGTATGGATCTAGCTCCATTATTGATTGGTAGATTTAATATTATATTCAATCTTGAAATTTTATATCGGGGTTTTGGGGTTTTGGGGTTTTGGGGTTTTGGGGTTTTGGGGTTTTGGGG